GTAGGGAGGTCTTGGGTGGCTCGGCCAGCCGTGTCGGGGACCAGGTGGGGCTGGGCCTTCACGGGCAGACCCCGTTTCGTGGACGGACTGCACTCTGAGGTTCCTGGAGCTGTCGGCGCCATGTGCTGTTTCAAAATAAACAGTAAAGAGTCCGTCCAAGTCCACATAACATAAAATTAACCATTTTAAAGTGTACACTTTGGCCCTGGTTGGTGTGGCTCAGAGGATTGAGTACCAGCCCGCAAACCAGAGTCGCTGGTTCAATTCCCAGTCAGGGCACATGCCTGGGTTGTGGGCCTGGTCCCCAGTGGAGGGCGTGTGAGAGGCAACCAAGCATCAATGTTTCTCTCCCTCTCTTTCTCCTTCCCTTTCCCTCTCTCTAAAAATAAATAAATAAACTCTTTTTAACTGTACCGTTTGGTGGCATTGGTACACTCACGTTACGCAACCATGACCTTCGTCTAGTTCCGAACATTTTATCCCCAACAAGAGGAAATCCTACACCAGGTGGGCAGTCACTGTTCGTTCCACCTTCACCCGCCCCAGGCTGCCTCTGTCTTTATTTCGTCTATTTTTGGATGCACCTGTTCACGTGTTCTGCATATTTCATATAAGTGGAATCATAAGTTATGTTGCCTTTTGTGTCTGACTTTCTCCACTTCACGTAACGTTTCTGAGGTTCATCCGTGTGGTCTCATGTGTTTCAGCATCTCATTCCTTTTTGGGGCTGAACCGTATTTCATTACCTGGATGGAATGTTGTTTTATTTTCCCACGCACCATGGATTTTGGGTTACCTCCATCCTTTGGCTGTTGCAGATGGGGCCCCTGTGAACATTCATGAGGAGTGCTGATTTGAATACCCATTTTCAGTTCTTTTGGGTGTACACTGGGGAGGAGAGCTGCTGAGTCATGTGGTAATTCTGTGTTTAACCTTGTGAGGAGCTGCAAACTAACTGTGCTCCACACTGGCTGCACCAGTTTGCAGTCCCACTAGTAACGTGTAAGGCGGGGACCCCCAACCCCCAGGCCACGAACCGGACCAGTACCCATCGTGGCCTGTTTGGAGCTGGGCCTTCACAGCGGGAGGCGAGCAGCGGGCGGGGATCCTGCGAAGCTTCATCTGTGTTTACTGCAGCTCCTCGGCACTGCCCGAGCTCCGCCCCTGTCGACCAGCGGATCAGTGGGGTGTTAACCCTACAGTGAACTGCGCGTGCGAGGGATCTAGGTTGTGCGCTCGGTAAGAGAATCTAATGCCTGATGTTCTGAGGTGGAGCTGAGGTGCGATGCCAGTGCTGGGGAGCGGCTGCGAATACAGACCATCATCCGCAGAGAGGTTTCCCTGCACAGACACCACAGTGGATCAGATGTTTGCAAACTTGTATCAAAACCCTACCAGGGACGCAGGTGACAGTTAGGCTGCTTCTGGTGGCAGGCTTTACAGTGGCAAATGGGCTGATGTACTTCACTTGTACAGCTGCATCTGGTGGCAGCTGTAAGTCAGAATCCTACAACTGTTTTAGTCCACACGTGGCCTGCCCGCTATTTCATTTGCCACTTCCATCCCCGCCTCTTCTCCACTCCGTGTTCCTGTCTCGGTCACAGTTTCTGTAAGCCCACATGCTAACCCTAGCATGTGGTGAGTTGTATAATTATTTCCTCGTACATTAGAGTGTAACAATAATAGAAACAAAGTGCACAATAAATGTGATGTGCTCGAATTATCCTGAAACCATCTCCCCCCGCCAAGGTCCTTGGAAAAATTGTCTTCTACAAAACTGACCCCTGCTGCCAAAAACATTGAGCACCGCTGGTGTAAGGGCTCCAAATTCCATTTCTCCACATCCCCAGCAGAGCTGGCTATTTTGTTTCATTCTTGAATAGGTACTCGAATGGGAGTGAGGAGGTATGTCACTGTGGTTTGCATTTGCATTTCCCTGAATGTTGCACATCTTTTCATGTGCGTGTTGGCCATTTGTACACCTTCTTTGGAGAAATGTCTATTCAGGTCCTTCACCAGTTTTTCAAATTGGATTGTTTGTGGTTTTTTCCCCCTTCCTGTCCGGCTGGCAGGGAGGGAAGAGAACGCGTCTGCTGGTGAAGGAAGAAGCTGGGTGGGCCGGCAGTGGACCCTGGAGTAGAAACCAATTTGGTCCACGGGGGCCTGCGGGCTGTACAGTGTGGTCTAACAGGAGTGCCATTCTTTCTTGTACAAACGACTTTAATTATTGGAATGCACCGAAGTTCAAGGTGAAATGGCCTCAGCAGTGTCTACAGCAATACCAGTGCTGCAGTCATTCCCTGTATAAAATGTTTTGGGTTTGTCCCGTCAGCCTCTTCATATAATCCCTTGGCCATTTATCCCCTGTGCCCCTTCCCAGAGGGGTGGGACTGTGGCTTATTGAAGTGGGTGCCAGATAAAGTCTTTGGTGAATTGTGTGGTGATTTAGTTCCAGGAAACTACAACCACGGCTCTCCGAACTCCTCCGGGCAGTAGGAGGCGGTGTTTAGGGTTGTCACCAAGCCAGGCGCCGGGCAGGCCCTTCGCCCTTCCCTCCCAGCTCCCCGCAGCTGCAGGGACTTCCTAGGGGACGTGGCTGTGTGCTCCTCTTCAGAGACTGGTGTGAAAGAAAGAAAGAAGAAAGACCGAGGACTTTGAGTGCAGGTCTGTCAGAGAATGAAGTGCTGAGGAGGTGAATTAAATTCCTTCATATCCATACATACAGGTGCCAGTGCAGATTCTCACGTAGAAGTGACTGGTCACAGGCTAGGGGCTCACACGTCATCATTCTCTCCCTCTGTTCGCATCATCCTCACTACGTTGACAAGCGGCCAGTGTTTTTGCCATAAATGCAAGTTAGGATGCATTTTGACAAGTGGCAGTGATTGCTATGAATTAGGCGCCTTTTACACCGAGGAAAAGGCTCAGCCGAGTGAGGGGTTTGCCTGCGACCCCCCAGCAGGCGGTTGGTAGAGCCAGGATTCCAGTCCAGGCTTGTCAGGGTCTGTGGTGGGTTTGTGTCCCCTGGACCGTGCCCTGCGCCCTTGAACTCTCCCGAGTTCGTGTCTACTGCTGTCAGCAGAGCGCCCGGCCGCCAGGAGTGTTCACCGAGAGAGCTGCAGGGTCTGGGAGCCCGCGATCGTGGTCTCCAGTGGGCTGTCCTCACGTTTCCTCTGGGGAAGGAGCTCAGGTGCCCACCTCCTCTCCTGCTGCCACGGCGCAGTGCCTGGAGAGGGCCGAAGTAGACGAGATTTCCTTCTTGTTAATATTTAAATTTTAAAATACATGTTTGCTGTAAAAATAATTCAAATGTTTTTAAATTCTATTCATTTGCCTCGATCCTGGAGCCCTCCCCAGAGGTAATGACCTTGTACAGTGTGGTGTGTATTGTTCCAGTCTTTTTGTGTGTTTATACACACACACACACAATTTTAGGACTTTTTTAGAAAAATACATAAATAGATCATACTTCTGGTATTTTCTGCAGCTTGCTTTTTCCCACTTAAACTATCTTTACACCTCACATTGTCTTTTACCACCCACAGAGATCCTACAGCAAAGAGTTGTTCGAAGAAGTCATTTCGAAGCTGCGGAAGGCAGGGATCAAGTCCACAATAGCGATAGAGAAGTTCAAACTCCTCGCCGAGAAAGTAGAGGAGATAGTGGCCAAGAACGCGCGTGCCGAGATCGATTACAGCGACGCTCCAGACGAGTTCCGAGGCAAGTGGCCGCTTTTCTCAATCTGAACCCTTTGATTGGACTTAACTGGAAACAGGTAGCATTAAAAAGAGGATGTTACGCCCTGACCAGTGTGACTCGGTTGGGCGTCCTTCCAGTAGCCAAGGGTCACCAGTTAATTCCTGGTCAGGGCACATGCCTGGGTTGCCCGTTCAGTCCCCAAATGGGGCACCTACGAGAGGTGACTGATCTGTGTGTCTCTCTCACATCACCATTTCTCTCCCTCTCTTTCTTCCTTCCCCTCTCTCTAAAATTAAATAAATAAAATCTTTAAAAAAGAAGAGAGAGCCCTGGCTAGTGTAGCTCAGTGGATTGAGCCTGGGCCTGCAAACTAAACAACCGTGGTTCAATTCCCAGTCAGGGCACATGCCTGGGTTGCAGGCCAGTTCCCAGCAGAGGATGCATGAGAGGTAACCATACATTGATATTTCTCTCCCTCTCTCCTTCCCTTCCCCTCTGAAGATAAATAAATAAAATCTAAAAAAAAAAAAAGAAAGGAAAGAGGGGACATTCTGTGCTTTCAGCTTTTGAATGGTGTGCTGTGTTGCTTTTTGAGACTGTCTGAAATTACGTTTGCCTATTTGTAGTTCATGTTGTAAATTAAGGGGGGGAAAGGTCCTTTGGTCTGATTTCAAACCAGGTAACAACTGAGAGAATTCTAAGGTCAGCCTGGCCTTTGCAAGTGGGGACTGGCGTTTTCCCAGAATGCTGAGAAGTCCATATGAGGGCGTCTAGCCTGCCGTTCTCGCTGCTGCTGTGCTGGGCCCCCACTTCCTTCCCCAGTCCCCCTCCCAGCAGTGGCTGACTCCCCCCACACCCAAGGTGGCATGTGCACTCGCATGCTGATTGCCCTCGGAACTTGGGGGCCCTGCCGGACCGAGCCATTGTCATTGCCGTGGATGTGTTTTACTTTTCACTGATGGGGGGCGGGCGGAGGGCTTGGTTTTGTTGTGGTTTCCAGCTGCAGGCCCTGTTATTGGATAAGCGTGTGTTCTGCTTTGTCTCCGCAGACCCTCTGATGGACACCCTGATGACCGACCCGGTGCGGCTGCCCTCCGGCACCATCATGGACCGCTCCATCATTCTGCGGCACTTGCTGAACTCCCCCACCGACCCCTTCAACCGGCAGACGCTGACCGAGAGCATGCTGGAACCAGGTATGGGGGCATCGGCACCAGTATCAGTGATGATTCAAGAGGGGAACTGATCAAATCCAGAAAGTCCATAGTTTATGACACTTAATGGAAAAGACGTGAAACAAGCCCCCTGGCAATGGGCGAGGACACACCCGATTGGTGGTGTTGCTCGTACATCAGGCCGGGGCGGAGCATGTACGGTCCTTAGTTCATCCTCGCTTGTTGCCTGTGATGGTGGCCAGCGCAGGGTCATGCCTGGGGCTCATTAAAAAAAAAGAAAGAAAGAAAAAAGACATGAAACATTCTTTGCTCTTTTCTGGAAGTCTAGTCCTTCTCATGTCCAGTTTCTTTCTTCTTCCGTCTTCATTTCACTGAGCGAATGAAGGGCCTTTTCTTTCCATTTATGTAGACAACAGCATCATGTCTCAGGAAGAGCCTGCCCATCCAAGGCGTTAATCCTTCCCTTTTCTTTTCTCAGTGCCAGAACTGAAAGAACAGATTCACACCTGGATGAGAGAGAAACAGAACAGCGATCATTAAACCGTCCCCCTTGCCGCCTTCTGCCGGAAGCAGCCGAACCCAGCGAGGCGAGCAGAAGCCGCATCGGTGGTGCGGAGGCCCTTCGCGCGTGGAGACCAGACGTGGCGAATATACTGAGAGCCCACCCAGAGCGACCCCACGGTGGCCATCTGAACGGACATGAGCGAGAAGAGGAGCCCAATTCCTGTACATATATTTAAGTGACAAACAGTCAAAAGCTCGAAGGACACACTTTACGATTGATTGCCTGTGTAATGAAACACATCCTTCGTATGTCACACTGGGGGCTTTGCAACGGAAGTGTTTCAGTGATTGGTAATGAATGGGTCTGGGCCGCATCCCCTCCATTTTTTTTCTTCCTAAATCCAATCTCCACTGATTTGATTGTGATTAGAGAACCTTGGACATTTTGCTGCTAAAGAATCTCCCCCCACCCCCTTCCCGCCCCTACTTGCACTGCTGTGGATTTTTTTATGAGAAGCAAAAACAAAAATAAATCCCTGGCCCTCCAAACATATATTCTGTGAGATAACTGTGCCTGCAACAAAGTGTTAATCCTGGGGTCGTATTTTTATATCATATTCACATATTTGTTTTTTTAATTGGTGTTAGATGACATGATTAATAAAAAAGGCAAGATATTTTCAGAATTGGAATTTCAGTTCTTTTTTTTTTTTTTCTTTTGAAATGTCCCTTTAAATTTTTTTTTTTATTATTCTAAGCAAAATGAAGAGAGTCCTGTTGCTCTGGTCCTTGTCATGAGCCTTCTCTTAGGAACTGAAGGTGCAGCTGCAACCAGGGGAGTGCTTCCGTCTGCCGGGACGCTGGCGCAGGGTTCGGCGGGGGAGGGGGGCGGCGGTGTGACGCTCCGGGACAGCTCGACCTTCACAGTTACCCTCTGAGGGTACATAAATTTCTCGACTCCTGAGTCTGTGAGTCCAAGGCAGGGGTCCTGTGTATGATGTGTCCTCTGGGGCTTGGCCTTACCAAAGCAAAAAAGGGGTGCAAGGAATGTGAGGTACGTCTGCTTGTAAAAACACACAGGCAAAACACACCCACACACGCGCACAGAAACATAAGACTTTTTGTATTACCGCTCCCTACTTAACATACTTGAATTCTCGAATTTCCTTTGGGGTAAAAAAGGATTTGAAACCATAAAGTGTTTTGAAGAAATTAAGTCTACAAAAACATACTTTCTTTTTCTTTTCCTTTTTTCCCCCCCTCCACAGACAATGTCCTCTGTTCAATTCCAAATGCAAACTACAATAAATGGTGATACACATTTAGAAGACATCTTTGAGTCTTTTCTTTTTGTGGAAAATGGGCGGGTGAGCAGCAGGAGCCAGAGGAGTTTGCACCTGGTGAATGACCTTCCTGCAGCCCATTAGCAGTTTCCGTTTTCAGAAGGAAACTTCCGGATCTGTGTCCATCTCCGCGCTCTATTCGGTTCTCGTGCCATTTGCTTGTCTGAGAGCGTTGAGCTTTGTCATCTTCCATCTCTGTCCTTCTCCCATTGCTCCCTTATCTAAAATCTCTTTCCCCTGACCTTCAGAATTCTCGGGCAAGTTCAAACCATTTCGTAAGCATTTTTTCAGGCATTGCAGTTCATAGAACCGTGTCTGCCAGCTCATGGGATGATACTGGTGAGCGCTTGCATGGCATTTACTGGGTACCGGGCACTGTGCAACGGCCTTTTATGCTGATGATTTCACCCCCCCAGATGGTGGTACTGTTATCTTTGCATGTTCAATGGCCAGGGTGTGGGGCATGGAGAAGTCAGGTGACTTGCCCAAGGTCGCCTGGCCGGTTTGTGGAAGAGCAGGGGTCCAGGCCCGAGCCCACGCCTTTAGACACCCTGTCTACTTCTTTTTAGCGTGTTTGGACTAAATCACTTTTTCTCCTTCAAAAACAGTAATATACCTTGTAGTAGAAATGTTAGAGAATGCAAACACAAAGAAAATGAAACACACCCATAATTCCCCATGCAGAAATTCTGTTAGTTTACCTTTTACTATTATATGCCTGTCAGCTAGCTGGCTTCTGTGCCTGACTTTGCGCCTGTAATGCATCTCGTGAATGGGTAGTGTTTCGCCTTCTCTCCAACCAAATCATAACTCTTCCCGGGCACAGATCCTGTCGTACTCGCCTGCCCCACTCATCCCCAGGAGTGCAGCGGGATGCTGCTTTATTCTCCAAGTGCACACACCATTCTGAATATTCAGAATTCACAGGCCTCACGGACCTTCTGCCTGGTACACTCTAGGGCAGGGGTGTCTAACTCGTTTTCACCTGGGGCCACGTCAGCCTTGTGGTTGCCTTCAGAGGGCCAAATGTAATTTTAGGACTGTATAAATGTAACTACTCCTTAACAGTTAAGTGAGAGCCCGGCGTTGCCGCTGGGTACAAACACGGTGCTGGGCTCCATAAAATAAGGCGGAGGCTGGATTCAGCCCACGGGCCTTGTGTTTGCCACCTGTGCTCTAGGGGGAAGATGTTTGGGGGTTTTTTTTCCCCCAAGTCTCAGAGTTGCTGTTTTATAGTAACTTGCAATTTTCCTCCATCTGTTAATTACGGACATTAAAACAAATTCCAAATACTTTTAAAGTAGACCTCGGTGCCCTGGCCGGGTGGCTCAGTTGGTTGAAGCATCATCCTGTATGCCACAAAGTTATGGGTTTGATCCCCAGTCAGGGCACATACCGAGGTTGCAGGTTTGATCCCCAGTTGGGGTGTGTACGGAAGGCAGCAGACTGATGTCTCTCTCTTTCTCCCTTGCTCTGTCTTTGGGGTTAGTGAACATGTCCTCAGGTGAGGACTTCAGAAAAAATCTAAGTGGATCTTGGCTACAAGGAAGATGGTCCCGTTAGAAGGAGGAGCAAAGGAAGACAGAGTCCTTGAGAAAGATGATCAAGCTAACTTCCTACTCCTTTTCCGACTCCGTTGTGTGGGTTTTAAAAAGGAGTTGATAAACATCTTTCCAAAAGACCGCTGAGCACATTATTTTATTCACATTTTGTAACTGTGGAGTTTGTTCATAAAATAGTGAATTTCACAGCCTTTTGGTTGGGGGCTAAGGTGACTAGGTTAAAGTGTTGGAGTGAAGGGACCATCCACAGTGGCCCCTGAGCTCTGACCCAACGGCTAGCGTTGGGCCAGAGGAAGCCCCCCGTGTTGATAGTGCGTGTTTCTTGAGCACGTTCTGTGTGTGAATGACTCTCATGTGTTGATTTGTGTAACCCTCGACAGCTGTGCAGGAGGTGGCGCCGTGGACCTGGCGCCTGAATCGAGGCCATCCGGGCTGCACCACCCCGCTGTCTGGCAGCGTCCTGGAACGGTCCAAGTTCAGAATGCCCAAGGAGAGGCAGAGGAGAAGCCACGTAGCCTTCTGGAAGGAGCTAACACCTTGGGTCCTTACCAGCCACTCATTGGTCACCCCTAAATTTACGTCTCTAGGCCAGGCCTGTCTTCTGCACTGTGGACCCTGGGTGTGTCAGATGTCTAACCGGCCCCCGGAATGAACATAACACCCAAGCCAGTTCCGCATACTTGACCCCAGGCCTGCCCCTCTTTGTCTCTCCATCACAATGAATGGCAGCTTCATCCCTCCAAGGCGGGGGGATGGCTCAGGCTGGAGACTTTGGAGTCATCCTCGACTCCTGTTGTGCTCCGATCCTGCCCAGTCTGTCCACAAATTTATCAGCTCTTCCTGCGAACTGTGCCCCCCAGTTCAGCCAGGTCTCACCAGGTCCCTGGTCAGAGTCAGCGTAGGCAGCCCCCTGGGTTACGGCAGCAGCGTCAGAGCCAAGCCCCCTGTTCCTCCCCTGGCCCTCCTTCCCCACAACCCACGCCGGCAGGGTCTTCTTAAAATTTACCTAAGGTCACCAGGTCACTTGTGCTCCAACCCCTCCAACGGCCTCCTCATCCTCAGAACACAAAGAGCCCTTGCGGTCACCCAGAAGGCAGTACACACCCACCTCCTTACCTCTGACCTCATACCCTACAGCTTCCCCTTGCCCCAGCTATGAAGCCACCATCCATCCACAGGCTCGTTCACCACCCCTGCCCGGGCCCTTCCACTCGCTGCTCCCTCTACAAGGAATTTTCTTCCCACAGAGACCTGCCTGGGTCACTCGCTCCCTTCCTTGGTTTAGGTCTTTACTCAAATATCACCTCCTCGACTTCTTCCTTGTCCACCCTATTTAAAATTGCAACACATTCCCCACCTTTGTTGTTCATTGCTCTTCCTTTTCTTCCTTTTCTCCCCGGCATTTATTGTCATTTAACACGCTCTGTCTGCCATTCACTTGTTCACAGTCTGTTCTCCACCAAGATGTAGGTCCCGCGAGGGCAGGGATTTTAGTCTGTTCTGCAGCCACAGCACCCAGAAGAGTGCTCGACCCATTGGGTGAATTCTCTCCATGTATTTGTCACCCCAGCGGTGTCAGTTGTCCATTGCTGTGTAACCAAATCACCCCGAAATTCTGCGGCTTGATACGCTATAACAGTGACTGCATCGCTCACAGTCTTGGAGGTTCCAAGAGCAAGCATCCAAGACGACCAGACAGAAGCTGTGTTGCCTTTTACAACCTAGGCTTGGAAGCCACACAGTGTCACTTCTGCTTTATCACCAACCCACTGGGATTTAAGAGGAATGAGTGTAGAACCGACCTCACAACGGGAAGAATGTTGGGAACACACAGTAAGAAGAGCATTTGAGCTGGGAGA